GATGGAGTAGATGAAAGCATAGAGTTGATAGTTCCGTTAGAGTACGGCAGTGTGAAGATTGCATATAGATATTAGAATAGCGAGCTATGACAACTTTTAAGGTGCAAATCAGATTGGATTTGGCCTTTGTATGTATAAGTATGCATTAATGATTTGAACGTTTGTATTGGTTTTGGTACTGGAATACCAATACATATAGTATATTAGTGTTTATCTTTGTAAAGAGGGGAAGTATTGTAGTTTTGCAGTTTTTAGTTTAACTTAAGATTTTCTAAAAAATTCATGCAAGTGTAAAATTCAGATTCAAATAAATTCATACATGTAAGGGGTCATGTACTTATTACGTAAGGGTTTATCGGGGGAATTGAGTTCAGCATTTTCTTATTTTTTGAAATGGTGTTATTTACTTATTTTTTTCCGTCGATCTTGTTTTCCGTACTGAGTACCAATGCTACCAACCGCTTCCACAGCTGGACACTACCCATCAGCTCATGGCCCGGGAACCAACGGCTTTACTTTCCTTCCGGCTATAGAAGGCTGTGGGGGGTCTGGAAATCTAACCTATGACCATCCATTTGAGAAGAAAACGTGTAGCCAACTACGCCACGGGACCCTCCTCTGTGTACTTATATCTCGGATTTGTTAGAGAGTTTGCATTAATGCTAGTATAGACACACCGAACACCATAGCACAACTTCAAGTTTTCGGTTATGGTCTAATCTAGAATTTGTGGATCCGAAGTCCGAAAGAAGCTCCAATTTCAATAATGGTCCTTCGACGATATTGATATGTTTCATTAAAGAACAGAGAATAATGGCGTTTTTTTGTGTATAAGCTTGTTCAATATGTGATTTTCAGATAATATTTACTCTTTATTTCAAAATCACTGAGATTGCATCTTATCGGTACATAAAGTTTATTCGAAAGTTTTTTATCCTTCCTTGACATTTGCATCTTTAAACTTGAAAAAACACTCAAATTCACTGCCCTCACTATTGACCGAATATGCTGAATCTGATTCAGAAAGAAAGTTCAGGATTTCTTCAAACTCCTCATCACTTTCCGGTTCCGGTTCTGTATTATACATCGCCACGCTTTCACATACTGGATTCCTGGATTCCACGCTTTCACATACTGGATTCCTTCGCATTTTTATCTCTGATTAAAAAACTGCGCCCAGAACACGAAGAAGTTACGCACGAATTGAGCATAATTTTTACATACATTAGTCAGCTGGCAGTGCTGCCAAAAGCAAGTTTAGTATTGAGTCATAATTTCTGTTAGTACTCGACATTATCATTTACGAAGTAGAAATGCATTATTACGCGTAATAAGCTATCGCAATCAATATTTCTTTCAATTTTAACGCAATCCTCACGCAACATTCATTTGAGAATTGATGTTTTATTTTGGATTCGGTGAAATGATTCTAGCACCCTTGTTAATTAGCCCAACTGAAAATAAACACACACACCCTCTGAGACTGTGTCAACAAAACAGGACTGGTCATGTGTTTTTGTTTTGTCCCTTTCTCACTGTTGTTTGGCAATGATGATGACGTAAAACATTTTGCATTTTAAAAGTGCGAGAGTAAAAGAAACATTAAGCCTGACTGCCAGACCAATGCGTAGAGAATTAAACAACAGGAAAGTGCTAGTACGGCGCCGGGGGGAAGCGATCGACGTTTTTAAATTTTCGCAAAGTTCGTTTGGTGAAGTTTTCGCGATTTTGTGCCAGTCGCCGCGGATTTTTTAACGTTTTATTAATAGTTAAGTCATAGAACAACAACGTGAAGCCGTGGAAAAGAACGGAAAGTGTTGTGAAACATATAAAAATGAGCAATGAACCAAAACATTGCTTTTTTGAAGTGTGTTAGTGTAGTGTAGTGAGAGGGTGTGCGTTAGCGGCCCAAAATAAAACGATGGCGCGCCTCAATTGAAATGGGCAGCTTTTTTATCGAAAAGGGTTAAAACTCAGATTCATGTGAGCGGTATACTAAGGTAGGTGTTTTAAGTTTTTGTTAATGGTATTCCCAATTTTCATTGTGCGCCGTAATCCACTTAAAATTGGGTAATTACAGTAGTGTCTCTCAAACACACATACACTCGCAAGTATGAGTTTGTATGTAGTTGAATTTTTCGAACTGATTTCCACCTTAAGGAAGGTACAAATCGGTTTTTTCGTCTCTCTTTACCAAACTCCCCCTTTGGAGAGGGATGGTGAGGGGTGCCCCCCCCCCCGCCACCACTGGCAAAAAGAGATGAAAACCGACCCGTTCAAGTACCAACTGTGTGTTTGAAACAGTTCTACCGATTTTTACCGCACTTCAATTGTTATTTGAAGGAAGGCATCCAGTCGTAGGTTTGGAAATTGCAACTATTGTTTACCCCAACAATTGCAACTATTGTTGATCTCATTGACCCTGTACTTTTTTGCGGATTGAGTAAATACACGGAACCGAAAAAATACCCAAAATTAAGTTCTTTTCACTCATCTCCCATGTTTCGTTCAATAACTTATTTTTAGTAAAGCCTAGTATACAGATCGAAGCAAAACAAAAATTGAACCACGCGAAAAATCATAAAATTTCGCCTGCGAAAAAGGTTGTGAAAAAATGTTTGTGGAACATTTTGCAGTTTCCTTTTTTCGCAGTTTACAGTTCATGTGAAACGAAATCGATCAGTTTACACCTCCGGTGAAGTGAAAATCTGACAGATACGCTGTTTCTCGAAACGTCAACTTTTCGCTTAGCTGCTACTCCTTTCGCTAGCGCTGCATGCGCGAAAAAAATAAACGAAGGCGAAAAAGATACGATCCACAAAATTAGATTTCGCTGGATCGTATCTGTTTACAGTTCAAAGCGAAGCGAAATATTTGCCAATTGCGTTTTTCACGCTGGTGAAAAATGTAGTATTTTGTATGAGATTCTCGCTTCGCTTCGATCTCTATACAGGCCTTTAACCGCTTATAGTAGTTTACATTTGACTACAACAACAATATTTTACTTACTTATTGTTATTGTTATTGTTATTGTTATTGTGTCATGCTGGAGGGGGCATTGAGCCTGGTCGCCAGTGTAATTTTGGTGACCAATTATACACCTTCCATGCAGCAATCAGATAGATAAAGATGAGATGGCTCTTAGATAATGACTTATGCGAGTCGATTGAAATCAGCCGAATATTGAATGAGGGTTTAGGTGATCCTTAACATAGAAGCGTAGATGCATAGATGAAGGATAAGAGAAAGGAGAGAAAAAGGTATTGAAAAACAGAATTGGTAGAGAATGAGTGCTGATGAATATGCATTTATGTTTCATTTAGTTATAATGATTATCAATAATACTTACAGTCTGATGATGATGTTGCCTGTTGTGACTGTCTGCTGATCTAATAAAAATGGTACATGTTTTATGCATCTAAATTACCTTTGTTGTGATACATCCTTCAACGAAAACAAATTTTATTGTATTCCCCTGCTTTTCTGGGAGGACATTCGCGTCCCATGTCACTGGTCATCTTTAGGTCACCCAGCACTTGGAATGTGCACTCCGTCGGTGTTATATGCAAATTGCAAAAGAAAGAAAGAAAGAAATACATACAACCGGGATTAGTTTCAAGAAGTGATTATTTTCATCGGATTCCCCAACTAACCATATTATCGCAAAGTGAGTATATACAAAGCTTTATTGCGACTATATGGTTACTTGGGTACCCATAGGCCATCAGAATGGTTCATCGGTTGCAAATTCAGGCATTTTTTTTTAAATTATGCGTTATGTTTCTCAATGTTTTGACTGTATCCTATTTTAGTTCAAAATTATATCTTCACTACCCAAACAGCATTGTACACCTTATGAAAGTTTCAAAACCTTCTTTAAGTTTAAATACTGGTGTAAACAACTCTTACAAAGTCAAAGTTGCTGCTTGGGTATTGCAACGACGGGTAATCATTGAAAGTACTTGCATTTTGCTCAGGCACTTTTGAGCAAACTGAAACCACCTTCTCATACTCGAAATGTGCCTCGACCAATCTGGCACAACGATGCCCTATATGCTCTCTGACCAAAGCGCAGGGAACAACAATATTTTACTTACTCGTAAGTATTTTCTACCCAAAATTAAGTTCAATTTTCTCAAACTCGAGAATATCTCATATACTCACTAGTAGTTTATTGAATGGTAGTCATGAGAAAGTCGAATCTTTCGTTCCGTTTTTGACAACAACAAAAAGTGAGAGTGGGGTGTAAAACTCAAAATTAACCAAAGTTAAGTAAAAAGAACTTAAATTTAGGGTATTTTTTTTTTCCTCTATGCATATCTGATTCTATTGTCGTGTACTCAAATATCAGTTATTTTCATTTGCCGTGCGCTCAACGACAGTGACATCTTCCGATATTGAACAGAAACGAAATATATAACTTCAGGGAAGATGGGGAAGATTCGATTAAACTATGACATTCACACGTTTTTTTTTTTTTCGTTTTTTTTAACCCTCTTCTTCCCCCCTCCTGTGTCACGCTTTTTCCTATATTTTCACGTATTGTCACAAGTTCTAGGAGCCCCTCCCTCCACCCACAAGAGTGGACGTCTTATTTAATTTACTCCACCATCCAATATTCTAACCCACATCTGTAGTTCACAGGTTTTACACTAGAGGGTGGCAACACGTCCGTTGAAAACTCCCGAAAATTGTTGAAATTTATCACTAAGTAGTACTGAATTTAAATTTTAATCAGTTTTTTATGCGGCTTCTCAATAATATTAGAATATTTTTCATTTATTTTTGAATGAAATTTAGACTTACCAATGAGCACCAATACGTTTTCCGAAAATGATTGCTTTTTAATCCTTTTTGGTTATTCGGTTCAACCGTTTCACGTTCGTCAGTTATCATCGGTTATTTGCGTTACACCTATTGGTATGCTGTGAGTGGAGTATTTTGCTGTAAATGATGACAGCCCATTATTTGTTTACGTTTTGTATAAACTTGTTTCCTTGTACGCTTTCATTAAATTTCGATTGCGGTGAAAATATTTCACATTATTCGCTTCACTATTCCACAATCTAGGGTAATAAAACCAGTAAGTCATGGATCTCTCTCGGGTGCCCAATGAGCGCAAGCTGTATCTCTGCAAGTGGTATTTCAAAGGTAAGTTTTAGCCATAAATTATAAAAAAATAGGCTAGATTAGTCATCAATTTCGTTTGCAGTCGGATTCGCCCTCCTACCCTTCGTGTGGGCCATCAACACCGTGTGGTTCTTTAGTGAGGCCTTCCGTAAACCCACCTACGACGAGCAGAAGGAGATTCGGAAATGTGAGTAATGATCCTCCATACTGTATGCTTGACTATGCGAGATATCGGCTTTCCGGAAATATGTACTGTAAAATTCTAGAGCAACATGTGTCAAATGTAAACAATGCCAAAACGCCGATTTCTCGTGAATTAAGGCTCATTCAGGTAAACTGTTGCACATGTTACTCTAGAAATATTAGGCTAAAATCGAAGACAACATATCAAATTGATATGTTGTCTTTGCTAAAATGCATGTTAAACGCTGTCCAGACTGGAGAGTTATAACATGTTATAACAGTTACAAATAATTGCAACACAGAAACCACCTATTATAGTACGTTCAGACTACAGAGTTATAACATGTTATAGCCAAGGTTGCAAAGACTCATTTCAGCTAAAACAATGTTTTTCTAAATTATGAAATAATTAGATGCCATGATCAAATTTTGAATTGGTAGGATACAAGAAAAGGTTGCAAAGAATGTGTTTGACATATTAAACCTGTTTATTTCACTTCATGAGAGTCACAATCAGCGATTTTTCACAAACTCACTCACTCACTCACTCACTCACTCAGCGATCAGCAAATCGCTGATTGTGACTCATAGAAAGCAAAATTTACAGGTTTTATTTTTCCAACGCATACTTTGTAACCTCTTCTTGTAAGTTACAAGTAAGACATGCCATCATACCATCTTTTGGTTTTATTATTCCGAAAAACATTATTTTAGCTGAAATGAGTCTTTGCAACCTTGGTTATAGCGCTATCTTGATGGTGGTCTCTGTGTTGCAATTATTTGACAACCGTTATAACATGTTATAACTCTCCAGTCTGGACAGCGTTTTAGATTAACAAAAAGTAACTACTAATATGGGAACTTGGAGTTCCAATTTTTATATTAGAAACCCGACATTAGATTATTTATGGTGATATTCTTTTTTACAAACCTAAACGATGATGATTGCAGAATATAATTTCCGGGGAAATTTGTATATGCGATAATTGTGATTATGAATTAATATAAGAGGATGTTCATAAACTACGTAGACACTTAAGGAGGAAGGAGGAAGGCGAGTGTATACGGTCCTTACACATTTTCGATTGTCTCGCGGGGGTCTAAAACCTCTCAAAATCGGTCTATGTAGTATATGAACAACTCATAATTGATAATTCATCAATTAATAAACAGGTTTTAATTAAATAACCACGTTTAACGATTACGTGCGATACGATACCCGGAAATCGGCCCTAATACCTATGACAGACAGACATAATTGTATTAACGTTTTACTCCTACAACAATCCAGTACCAGAATAGACGTAGGTACCAGCGTAAAGGACTACAACGTTAGTACAAATAGGTCTGTCAGGTATAACATACGTTGGGACTTCTAACAACGATCTAGCATATCAATATTTCTTTTAGATATACTGCCCATAATCGCATAACTGTCTTGTATCGATAGGAAATGAGGTTTATATCACTGCTATGCGTTTATGAGCAGGACATACACTCACTGCCCATAATCGCATATCAGTCGCATCTTTGCTTGATTTCCTATCAATATGGGACAGTTGAGCGATTACGGCAGTACACCTAACAGCGTTTCAATATAAATATCTATTTTCCCTTCAATTTTCAGATGTGATATTTTCCGGCATCGGATCCCTCATATGGTTTATAATTATCCTATCCTGGGTCATGACATTCCAGCTGAAACGAACAGAGTGGGGCGACTTTGCGGACAGTATAAGTTTCATCATTCCGCTAGGACGCGCCTGAAGCAGTTTATGATATCTACTCATGCATAGATTTTCTAAATATGGACTATAAGTTAAGATTTAATACCCACTTACTCATTGAAATAAACATTTTCATTAACACCCTCAGCCAAAACAACCGAAAAGTAGGCTATAGCAATATCGATCGCTGATTTGCTTTCAAGTTCACTGCCCTGTTTCTATCAATCATCATTCTCACCTCAAAGAATCATTGGGCGGCGCATTCCCGACGCTCAATGACCTGTTGCTTCTAAATAACTAGCAAACTGTTCCCCCCTCGAGCCACGTTGCACGTAGGTAGAGTGCATTCCTGCCAACGGAACAACTATCGGAATCCGGTTACCAAGGTACCACCGGGTCAAACTCCTGAATGCACCCGTTGTTTATTTTCCTGGCCTGGTTTCAGTCTTCCAGAGGGACGTCAATCGATAAGTAGTGAAAAATTGCCGCTCCGTGGTGGAATTTGCTGATTTTCTTCATTCAAAGATTTTAATTGAACGGAATAATGGAGAAAGAGACCCGTTCGAAGCAGATTTCGATCGTTCCGAAGAACGTTTTCGGTCTGCGGACGGACATCCTTGGAAATGTGCACTTTACCACGAAGCAGGAGATAATCTACCCGGTGGCGGGGGTTTTGGCCATCCATGACTTTGCCACCAATAAGCAGAAGTTTTTGAGGTCTGGAATGATATTCATTCCTTGGTTTCCTAATTTGATTGCAACTTCATTTTAGATTTCCCGAAAACTACCACCCGGAAAGGATTGTTGTTTCCCCGGACCGAAAGTACATAGCCATATCCGAAAAAAGCGCCGATAAGTAAGTATGGCTATATTTAGATCGATAATTCGTCGCTAGCCTGTATTACAGTGGTGATTGGGGTTTCACTCACGCGGTAATTCGTTGAACACCTAGCGGGAGTCAAACACGTGGTTGCTTAAGTATCTCATTGGGATCGGAAAGATTTATAGTGATGAGGACTGCTAATCGATAACCGTTGATAACGTCTGCGTTAAAGTCTGCAATGCAAATTTACACATTTGATGCAAATTCAATCAGAATTATTCTACGATATGGATGCCCGCTAACATGGAATTTGATTAACCATTTGTCTGTAAGTATGTACCTTGGAGTCAATTGGACCCCATTGCACTTTGACAGACTAGAACTTTTTTATTTGGCAATGAATTTGTCTAATTATTTTATAATTATCTTCTTAGAATCTGAAATACTAGACGAAATCTGCTACTAAATACTTGAAATATTATCCCTTGCATCTATTTTCATGGAAAACTTACGTTGTCTCCTGGGGTCAATTTGACCTTAAATTAAAATTGGGTTCTTTATGGGTATTGAGGTATTTGGGATCTTTATTTTCAAATATATCGGTTGCTATCTGAAGGGGCTTCGTTTTCTGAGCACTATGATATTTTTTCGATTCCATTTACTGCCACTAATTTTAAATCTAGATTTCACTAACAAATTAACTGCTCGCTCCCATACAAAGTACCACCGAGGCGCGCTTAGATGGTGATTTTTGCAAATGTAATCACACCTATTTAAAATAGTTCCAGTGCGCCAAAATTGTGATTTTTATGGGTATTGAGGTAATTGTATAATCGTTATCTGCATGTCAAATGGAACCAAAATCCAAAATTTCATCAATTTGGCAGCACTGGAATTACAACACTGGCGCGGTAACCATAGTACGGTGATAGAGGAAATGCTTCACCAAACCCGAGCGTCTGTTCACCATGGAGGTGCGGCTCAAAACGGCGTCTGTTCTCCATCACCGTCCTAGTGCCAGCGTGGGACTCTAAACAGAGCTGTGCACGATGGTCCCCCGGAGAGACAGGGGGTTGGGGCAGGCCCAACAGGCCGCCCTGGAAAAAACATAAAGTTGCAAATACTGAAGAAAGAAATACGGATCGGAACAATCGGCACAGACCTACGCGACGAAATAAGGACTACGATTGGAAACTCGGAACATGGAACTGCAAATTGCTCGGCTTCCCGGGCTGCGATAGGTTAATCTATGACGAACTTCAACCACGCAACTTCGAAGTCGTAGCACTGCAGGAACTTTGATGGACGGGACAAAAGGTATGGAAAAGCGGGCATCGAGCGGCTACTTTCTACCAGAGCTGTGGCACAACCAACGAGCTGGGAACCGGCTTTTTAGTGCTGGGTAAGATGCGCCAACGCGTGATTGGTTGGCAGCCGATCAACGCCAGGAACGGCATTTTCTCCGACATTATCAACGTCCGCACGTACCGCAGTGCGAACATAGATTCGGACCACTACCTAGTTGCAGTATGCATGCGCTCAAAACTCTCGACGGTGCATAACACCCGTCGAAGTCGAACGCCGCGACCCAACATTGAGCAACTACGGGACGCCGGATTTGCCCAGGACTACGCGCAACAGCTGGAAGTTGCACTATCCACGGAAGAGCAGTTTGGCGCAGGTTCTCTTGAAGATGGCTGGAGGGATATCCGTTCCGCCATAGGTAGTACTGCTGCAGCGGCACTAGAGACTGCAATCCCGGACCGAAGAAATAACTGGTTTGACGGCGAATGCAAACTATTAGTAGAGGAGAAGAATGCAGCACGGGCGAGAATGCTGCAACACCGCACGAGATTGAATGTGGAGCGATACAGACAAGCGCGGAACAGACAAAACTCGGTTTTCCGAAGGAAGAAGCGTCAGCAGGAAGACCGAGATCGCGAGGCAATGGAAAATCTGTACCGCGTAAACGACACACGGAAGTTCTACGAGAAGCTAAATAGTTCACGTAAAGGCTACGGACTTGGACGGTAACCTTCTCACGAACGAGTGTGAGGTGATTGAGAGGTGGAAGCAATACTATGACGAGCACCTCAACGGTGAAGCAGCAGAAAATGAAGGTGGCACGGCAACAGATCTTGGAGCACGCGCAGAAGACGACAGGCTACCGGCCCCTGATCTTCAAGAAGTTGAGGAGGAGATCGGTCGGCTGAAGAACAACAAAGCAACTGGTGTAGATCAACTACCAAGTGAGCTATTAAAATACGGTGGTGAAGCACTGGCTAGAGCGCTGCACTGGGTAATTGCCAAGATTTGGGAGGAGGAGATATTACCGGAGGAGTGGATGGAAGGTGTCATATGCCCAATCTACAAGAAGGGCGACAAGTTGGATTGCTGCAACTACCGCGCGATCACACTACTGAGCGCCGCCTACAAGGTACTCTACCAAATTCTATGCCGCCGCCTGTCACCATTTGCAAGAGAGTTCGTGGGGCAATGTTGGGCCAACCAGGCAGGATTCATGGGTGCCCGCGCTACCACGGACCAAATTTTCGCGATTCGGCAGGTTCTGCAGAAATGCCGTGAATACAAAGTGCCCACACGTCATTTGTTCATCGATTTCAAATCCGCATACGACACAATCGATCGAGATCAGCTATGGCAGATTATGCACGAGTACGGATTTCCGGATAAACTGACGCGATTGGTCAAGGCGACGATAGATCGAGTGATGTGCGTTGTTCGAGTATCGAGGACACTCTCAAGTCCCTTTGAATCTCGAAGGGGTTTACGGCAAGGTGATGGACTTTCGTGTCTGCTATTCAACATCGTGTTAGAAGGTGTGATCAGAAGAGCAGGGATAGACACGAGTGGCACGATCTTCAGGAAGTTCATCCAGCTTCTTGGCTTCACCGATGACATTGACATCATGGCACGGAATTTTGAGACGATGGCGGAAACGTACATCAGACTGAAGGCTGAAGCTAGGCGGATTGGACTTGCCATCAACGCATCAAAGACAAAATACATGAAAGGAAGAGGTTCTAGGGAAGACAATGTTAGCCTCCCACCCCAAGTTCAGATTGACGGTGACGAAATCGAGGTGGTCGATGAGTTCGTGTATTTGGGCTCACTGGTGACCACCGAAAATGATACCAGCAGAGAAATTCAAAGACGCATTATGGCAGGGAATCGTGCCTACTTTGGACTCCGGAGGACGCTCCGGTCGAATAAAATTCGCCGCCGCACGAAGTTGACTGTCTACAAGACGCTGATTAGACCGGTGGTCCTCTACGGCCACGAGACCTGGACTATGCTCGTGGAGGACCAACGCGCCCTTGGTGTTTTCGAACGGAAGATGTTGGTAACATCTACGGTGGAGTGCAGATGGATGACGGAACGTGGAGGAGGCGAATGAACCACGAATTGCACCAGCTGCTGGGAGAACCATCTATCGTCCACATTGCAAATATTGGGCGACTACGGTGGGCTGGGCACGTCGTAAGAATGCCGGACGACGACGCAGTGAAAATGGTTCTAGAAAGCGACCGAACAGGAACAAGAAGAAGAGGCGCGCAGCGGGCAAGGTGGATCGACCAAGTAGAAGGCGACCTGCGAACCCTATGCAGGCTACGAGGCTGGCGAAGTGTGGCCATGGATCGAGAAAAGTGGAGACGACTTCTTCGGACAGCAGAGAACAACAAAGCCTTAGCCTGATTGGTACGGTAAGTAAGGAATTATTTTAAATAACATACACATCTGAGGTGTAGCTTACGGAGATACGCATTTCATATTAAGCCGATGGATGTCATTCAGACGCTGTTTGAGCCGCATGGTGAACAGAATCTCGGATTGGCGAAGCATTCCCTCTATCGCTGTGCTATAGTTACTGTGCCAGTTTCACGTCGCACCTCCTCACTTTGCTATTGTCGGATTGATAACATTGGCTACGCCACCCTGCTGTGTCCATGTTTTAGCTGGTAGTCTTTTGTGCTTTCCGAATTTCCGACTCCCCATTTCTCAATCAAAGCAAATATGAGAAAAGCGAAAAGTTGTATCAGAAAACTTTTCAGTGTGGGTCTCTAAAAATCTAATAAAAACCCAGAACCACCTAGATATTACGACACTACATACCTTTTGCATCAACTCACCAGCAAATCCCTGATCAACATCTACGATATTGCCACGCTGAAGAAGCGCAAAACCCTGCAGCTGCCCCCGGACTGTCCCAACACCCAGATCGGTAACATCTGCTTTACGTACGACTCACGTGGAATTGCGGTCCTGTCCGTTGAACCGGATGCCTTCCTGTCGATCTTTTCGTTCGACAAGAACGAATCACTCATCATCGGACGTGCCTCCAACTCCAGCCAACAGGGCCAGGCCAACTATCTGTCCTGCAATCCGGGCGATGCCACGATCGTTGCCGTCGGCGGCTACTACATGTTGAAGATCATGAACAAAACGGACAAGGGTTTCGGCCAAATCGGTACCATCAAGGGAGACAACTTGCTGGTAACGTCGATTGCTTGGTTGACCGCTGAAGCACTCGCCGCAGGAACGGCGGAAACCGAACTGATCGTCGTCGAATCTGGAGAACTCAAACTGAAGCTTAGAGCTGATGAAGTCGAGAAGATAGATCTCTCGGCAGACACGGACGGTGAGCTATCACCCACTCCGGAAGGTAGCGACTCAGGCATCAAGAAAGACAACCACGACGTTCTTTGTTTGACGCAGTTTAATCAAGGATTCCTCTATTCGATCCACAATTCTGTGCACGTATTCGAGAAAACCACTAACTACATCTTCACGAAGAAGTCGGTCATACGAATCCCCATTACCCTGTACGATCAGCAATCATACAAGATCATGAATGTCGCCGTGAACGCCGAACAGGACACGATCGTGGTAGCGACGAAGCATTCCCAAATCTACATAGGAATGCTCTTTGTGCCGGAAACTCTGAAGGTTAGCGAGCTCGTTTTCAGACATCTCGGTGAACCGTTGCATGTCCGTGGGATCGTTGGATTGTCCGTGTGCTCCTGGAAGCCGATTATCATGACAGCATGTAAGTTACTCACTCAACTCGGGAAAGTCATGATCCACCTTGACTTTTTTTCAATTTCAGCCAAGGATCTCACGATACGTCTGTGGAACTATCAGAGCATGAAGGTCGAATTGGTCAAAAAGTTCCAGATCGAGATTGGGGTCATTGCGCTGCATCCATCAGGGTTCTTCGCCGCCGTCGGGTTCATCGATTTGCTTCGGTTGATGCAAGTTCAGCTAGACGACCTTAAGGTCACCAAAGTGTTCAACTATCCGAATTGTACTCAGCTGAAATTTTCCAACCATGGTCATCTGCTGGCGGCAGCCCACGGCAACATCATCAGTTTGATCTGCATCTTTACATTCAGTGTCATTCAAACGCTAAAAGGACATAACGGAACCATACTAAGTTTGTCCTGGTCGACTGATGATCTATTCCTGGCTTCCGGCGGCAACGATGGGGCGATCTACAAATGGAATGTCGTCACCGGCGAACGGATGGAGGAGATCGTTCAGAAAGGCATTCACTACCGATCACTATCGTTGACGAGCGATGCCAACTCGGTGTTTGCCATCACCAATACCGGGCTAATACGGGAGATGTGCAAGTCCGATATTGTAAGTAACCTCTCGGATAGGCTTTAGAATATTACCACCTCCGATTTAATGTTTCAGAACCGCGAATTCAAAATTCCGGAGCTGACGCCTTTGACAGATATTTCCCTCTCCCGATCGGATCTGATCATGTTCGTGGGAACGGAAAAGGGTCACCTGTACTACGTGGACAGTAGCAATGGGAACTGCAGCAATTTTAGATTTTTCAACACAAAGATCACGAAGGTCTGCATGACCTACAACGATTGTACGCTGGTGACAGCAGCTGACGATGGAACGCTGATAATCTGGACGATCTTGAACAACGAGGGTAAAACGGCATCGCATGCTAGAGAACTTGGCCAGTGCTCTGACATACTGATTGCGCGGCAAGATTTGGTCGATAAAATCGATTTGATTTCTACACTGGAGATGCGGATCCAGCAACAAATTATGGAGTTTCAGTACAAGATGAAGCAAGGGGATCGGTTCCATTCGGAGCAGATGAGAGACATTCACCGGGATTACTGTGCAGCCATCGAGGAGTTGAAGGTTAGTTAATGTTGATGTGTCCTTTTTTGAAATAGTTGTTGAATGTTGTATGTATGCAGAAAAAGAATGAGGAAATGGAGCTGGCTCACCTGGAGGAGTTCAATCTAATGACGGCTAGCATCGCCCAGGCGAAGGAAGACCATCAGAAAGAAATGATGGATTTCGAAGGGCAGTTTCACGAGAAGATCATTATGGAATATGATAAGCTCACTGAACTGAAGCAACGAATGGACCAGATGCGAGAGGATTATGAAGTCAAGCTCCGGCGATCAGCAGGCTGTTTGCAGGATACGATCGGTGAGTATTGCTGTTTTCTCAACTGAAGCGATGTTCCCAACCGAATACCTTTTTTTTTCATTAGAATCCCTGGAATCTGAACAAAGGAAGCAACTGAACGACAAACAGGAAATCATCAACGGCCTGCTGAAGGATATGGAACGAAAACGCATGGAGTTTGACGAGTACTGTAAACAAGTTGACGTGGATAACGATCGCAACAAGGTGGAGCTTCAGTTGAACTATGAGAAGAAGCTCCAAGAGGAGCAGGAAAACTGCATGAAGTGGCGGGGAGAGGCCGGTGTGTTGAAGAAAAAGTTTTCCACCCTCAGCCGAGAGACGGAAAATTATCGGAAGGACATTGAAACCCTCCAGTACCAGCATGGAAAGTTTCAACAAGCTATCAAACAGCATCAGCGAGATATTGAAGATCTAAAGCAGGAGCTAGCGGATCGAGAACTGACTATAAAGGAGAAAGAAAGGAAGCTGCATGAGATGAGTAAGAGAACTAACGACTTAGAGAAATATAAACAGGTTCAAACGCACAAAATCACCGAGCTGAGGAGCCAAATAGAACCGAAGCAGAGGGAAATCAGAGAGAAGAAAGAAGTAATTGGCGAAATGGAGAAGAAACTGGAGGAATTACAACAGAATAACAAGCAGCTGGCACTGCAGTTGCAGGAGCTTCGCGACAAATACTACGGAGCCGATTTGGAGCTTCGAAAGGAACGGAATCGTTTCCGTGGTGCAAAGCACCAGTATCAACAGGTTTGTCGTGAGATCTACAACGTAGCAGGACTGATTCAGAAGCCCGAGGAGCTGAAACGAGGAATTACGGATTTGTGCCATCGGTACTCGGACGACAAGGAGCTGCAGAAGTCGTTGGCTTTGGACGAGGACGTCCAGAATGAGTTCCTTCGACAGAGAGAACACCTGGAGAAGTTGACCAAGAGTTCTAAAATGAAGAGTGGCCAGAAGAAGGACACCGGTGAAACGATGAAGCTGATGAAGGAAAACATGGAACTGCTGGCAGAGTTGAACAAGCTGAGAGAGCTACTGAATGAGAAACAACGCGCTTGCACCCGAATGGAGGCACTGCTGGGGTTATCCAGTAAAGCCATATCACCCCGGGAAGCGAAATTGAAGCTGGAAAAGGCTGTCTCTGTGAGTATCTAAAGTTTAACTTGGATTAACTATGACTGTTAACCATAATGGTTCTTTTCAGGACAAGGACGAATTGGAGAACAGACACCGTGAGCAGGTTACTAAACTGCAAGAAGTAATCAAATCGCTATCGAACGAAAATCAAAACTTGCGATCGGAAATCGTGGCTTTAAACAAGAAGAATAACGGTCGAAGTTAAGCACTTTACCTTCGTACTCATGTAAATATACTTTTAAGAGTTTACTATCAATGGACATCTTTCTCTTTTTTTCCTATTAGTCTCCAAGTACTTCCTTCAATTAGAAAACGTTGTATTCAAGTGTTTAAATATGGTACTTGTTCCAAAAAGCCGTGAATAAAAAGATACAATATTAATAAGCACAAAAACTGTGAAAATAATAGTTATAGATAGTTATAAAAATAGCAAAAAAATAATCTGTAAAAATATTAGGATTCTCAAATGCAAGGAAAACATATCGACATCTTCACGTTTAGCTAATACTGCTCTGCCGATTACATCTGGCTCCTTTCAGTGAAGGGCAGTCGCAGATGTCATCCTGGCCGCGGATAAAAATTTCTGATTCGTGGGAGATTCGGTGCAAACATTTACCTTAGTCCAGCATCGATCCTCACTGGATTTCCGAACCGCATCCAGCACCGCCTGAACGTAGAGGCCATCCTCGAAGGTGGCAGCCGCCTGAACGGGTTCCTTAATCCACCCGGCGGACTCTTTGTTCGGATGGAAAGCGTCTCTCAAAGCACCAACCATCTTGCAGAGACCTTTCACATAAGGCCTCGGCAGCGTCGTTTCCGATGTTGAAAATTGCAAATCCTGCACGTCTATGTACAGCATTTCCTCCTTGATGGATCCAGCTTCACCGGTCGTTCGATGACCAACCAAATCACCTCCCCTCACAGTCAGGTGACCTTCTCCTCCATAAACGGCCACCTCCTGATGGAAGGTATTGTTCGAAACGTGACAATTTATATTAACCGTCACCAAGGTTCCACTTTCCAGCTCCATCTGGAAGGTACAAAAGTCCGGAGCGGTGATCTGACGAATACCATTTATTTGGCCCATGTGCTTAACATAGGTCCGAACGGTCCCATGAACTTTTATAGCCTTCCGTTCGGTTAGATACTTCACCAAATCTATCACGTGGCTGCCGACTAAATTGAGAACTCCCCCTCCCATTGTCTCGTCACACAACCAATCGAACTTGTTATGAAACAACGAACTCATTCGGACCTAAAACGGAACAAATCACTAATAATCATTAATTGAATCTGAAGCCAAACCCCAATACCTTAACATCAATCAACGACAGCTGCTCCGGCGGTCCTAGATAGCCCTCCTGGATAGCTTTCTTCATGTGCCCAATGGCTGGCAAGAAACGCAAAGAGTGATTCACGATGGAAATCAACGACGGATAATACTGGCAAGCACGGACCATTTTGAGGGCGTCCGTTTGAAAGAGACTCATCGGTTTATCACAGACCACATGCTTCCCGATTCCGAGTGCCTTCACCGATATCTGAGAGTGTAGGTACGGCGGACAGGTGATAAACACCATATCGACGTCCTTCCGCAGCAGCACGTCATCGATCTTGCTGGTAAAGAAGGGAATCTGTAGCTCCAAGGCAGCTTCCTCGGCCTCTCGCAGGGTGCGACCCCAGATAGCTGCAATGTTGAAACCCTTATCTCGAAGGATCGGTACCAGCACGCGGGTGATCTCACCGGTACCAAACATCCCGATTCCCGGTAGCATTGCGAACGGGACACTATACCAGCTAAGAGCGGCACACGCGGGTTATACGATCTAAAATACTGGAAGTTTTCACGATTTTCACGCAACAGATAACGGGAATAAGTAGAAAATTGATCACGATTTCGTGGTACGAATGAGCAGAGCAAAACAAAAATGCGTCAACAAACACGACCGAGGCGAGGTTAGCGGGCTAGCGGGTTTGATTCGAAAGGTCAACACGTCAACAGACACGGAAAGGCGAAACAACTCAAAATTCAGAGGAAACATGTCAGAAGGGTCTAACTTGAAACTTAGGCTCTGAACCATTTGGTGGATTATTTTAACTTTTGGTTAAAATTTGACAGATGGAAAGTTATCGATTAACCCTGCTATCCGAGCGTGGTTATTTCTGACAGACAAGAAGTTAAATTTTGACGACCGTGGCTCGAAAACCGGTCGATCGACAGCACGGGGATTTTCGAACATAAGAAATAACTTTCGAAATGTCACTTTTAACTACGAGTTAAATTTAACTCGGCAAATGGTTCACAGCCTTAAACAATGACTTGAATCGTCGGTTTCTTAGGTTTCTTACGAATGACTACATACTCACTCAAACTAACTAAATCATCTGACAGAAAAATGTTTGTTCTATGAGCTAGTGTAGTCAGATTCTGTACGCTTCTAGTTATACCAGGGGGTGGAAACTAACGATTTTAAATTGGCTCACCACTTTAGTAGCCTATTGGTCCCAAGCAAACGATTAACGTACCCTATTCTAGTTGAAATTCTATTACTACACTATGTTTGTTTTGATTCGCAATGAAAGTTTGACAGATAACATCAGGGGTGTGTGGATTCATGCAGAACATGCAGGGGTGAGTGAAATAGCTTGGGACTGCTTGGGACCGTTGTTCTGGTACTGAGTGAGCCAAAAATAATAATGATTTTCTTCGGGACCCAGTGGTCTTAGAGTTACCTCTATGGTTATACCCTTCTGACATGTTTCCTCTGAATTAAATCATTTCTAGACTTAACTTTGAAAGGGGCGGAAGACCCAAAATTAAACACACCAAATTTTGCCACATATACACTCAAAAATATAAGTTAACAAAGAAAGTTTAAAATTTAATCATATGTATTAACAATGTTTATACATTGATTTGATTAAAATTTATTTTAAAATTATGCTAAGTCCGAATAACAGCGAGAAATTTGATAAGGGGTGTATACCGCTGATTTAGTCTTTTACAAGAGTTCAAATATTTAACAACAGAATATCAACATCTTATTTACTGATGTAAGTTCAGAAAAACCATAAGTGAAAAGCGGGATATGAGCTGAAAAAGTACTCCGGTTTTGTTGTGAATTCTTTTAATCGCATCGATAACATCGAAAATTTATAGCTATGACTTGTTCCAGATATGCTTGACTATTGGTTCGAATCCAGTTCGATGTCCTTCTTCCTGAACCTCAATCCAATTACTGCAGATTTCATGCGCAACCATTTTGATTCGACGAACCTGTTCAATATGCATTTGTTCAAGCATTTGAACTGAACCGAGCTGGTACTGTCTGGTGATAAGCAGAAGGAACAATTGCAAAGATTACTCTTCCCAGATGCAATAGAGGTTGTCCAGAAGTATGGTGCAAATGTGCTGCGGCACAACTCACTGGTGGTTCGCGTAAATGATTGCAGCGAGGATTGCAGGTAAGTTAATATAACTGTTAAATTTAACATATGCATAACTTCATTCATGGCACGTCCTGTGGTATTCCTTAACGAGAATACCTATGGGTGAATAACTGCTTGCAGTTTTGAAGTTGTAGCGAATTAAATGCTTCCATCATGCTCATCCCACGAATGAAATTATTCTCCCCTCTCCAACTTCCCATTTTCAGGGTAGAAGATGTTAAAGACATCATCAAGGACGTCTACTTACTGTAGTAGAACGCATTCTGATTCTTGATACAGAACATCGGTCACTTTTAGAAGGACGATACATCGTGTGCCTAGCCGAACACATCTCCAACAACGTGATTGACGTTTGGATGATTTGCTTCAAGAAATTCTCACGCCCGGTGATCGCTTTGGATGATGATTTACATTATTTTTATTTTAAACATTATTATCACATGACTTCAAACATGGAATACGTTTGAAATAAACCTTGTTTATTTTTGTGGCCAGAACAAACTGAGTATACGTTTAAATTTACCTCAAATATGTTTGTTTCAACGATAAATTTTTCTGCGTGTATGAAAGTTTGACAGATAAAATGAGGGGTTATTGGTTTTTCCTATGTTTCGAGGGGTGAATCGATTAGCTTGGGACCGAAGAGAGTACCAGAGCTGAGCCAAAAAGTTGAGCACGTTATTTCGGGACCTTCTGGTCTTGGAGTTACCTCTATGGTGCAACCACTTAAAATTGAGTTCTTAGCAAGTTATCCAATTTTGATATTTTTCAAAGACTTAGTTTTGAGTCAAATGTAACTGTTTCGTAAATAGTGAATGTTGGGCGAAAAGTTCTTAAAACAGAGTTTTCAATTTTAGTGAATATTGTCAAACATGAAATTTCCTTATTTTATAACAGGTTATCGTCATCAGATTGTGAGTCGTTACTATAGTCGCTATATTCCAGGGGTTTGACATATAGCTGGATACACGTTCTCAACATCAAAACAACAAAACATATCATGGTACCGCTGACAACGTTGCAGCAAACTTAAGCGATATGACAGCCATATCCAACCCCTGCTATATTCATAGGCTGGCGGATAGAATCTCGGGAACCAATTGAGCTGTCACATAGCAGAACCAATCGAGCAAATCACGACCAACAAGAGAAAAGAGCACATCAGTTATTGCGAACAAAACTTTGGAACCCCTTTTCTCGTGACTCAAGACTCGCCTACGCAAATTAATACCATCTTTGGGATGGGGAAACTTTCCCCTATGCGTTCGATTTTTAGAGCAAAGAATAATCAACGTTTTGTTTATAAAAGTTGATAGTACCTTTTCAATTAATGGTCTACAATATTTTGAATTGGTTCCTCTTTTTGATAAATCGAAATTCTATCCACCAGACTATGAATATAGCGACTATAGTCGTTACCCGTGACATCAGTTAACGGGATATCATATCAAGCATAACTTTTCAAAAGGACGTATGTAACATTGGATAGCAATGTCCATATGAGATTATTAAATCCTTTTTAAAAGTTAATGCTATTTTTTAAAGCTGTTTCTGCTATTAGTTGGATAAAGGGATTGCGTTTAAGGAAATTGTGAAAAATGTTGAGTTTTCGCAAACACGGACACAATTTTTATAAAACAAAATGATACACCTTTTACTTGTGTACTACTCACATACACCTTGCATGATTTATCTATTTGACAGAACGGTTTTCAGATACCGTGGACCCCCGCTAATCTGAACGACACCTCATTCATATTAACGGGGTCCATTTTTAATTTGAACTTCTAGTAACCCTATCACACATCTATGACACAAATGTCATTCCCATATACTGTGCATGAAGCCGAAAAATCTTGGTTCTCTGGTTCGATTTTACGTCAACATTTGACAGCTGCTGCAAATATTCGCAAATAAGCTCTGTTCATGCGTGATACGTTGTTATGGAAGTTTTCCGCGATTGGCGGGAAGGATTTTGTTTAATATTTGTTGTGCCATAGGCGCTGTTTACTGTGTTTAACAGGAATTGTCGTTGCCTAAAAATGAAGTGCATTGTAATTGGATTTGATAACAGCATTACTACACCATTAAAAACTTTTAACGCGATATAATCATGCGGTACACATGAATTTAGCTTAAGAACGTGTTTTCAACACTAACACCACCATCATCGGTGACGGCTTCAGCAAGTACCAGTCTTGCCAGGGATGTGCCCTATCAGCGTGTTTCTGGTTGCCTTATTTGCTGTTTTGTTTTGATTCTGCGTTCCGTTTTGCAATGTTCCATTTCGCTTTACTCCGTTCCATGTGCAAAATGACGTTTAAGCAATTTTTAGTTTGCACGCCGTGCAGATAAGCGGGGTTCTAATAAAAAAGTGTTCAGATCGACCTGAAAACTGCACGGCTTGCTTGATGATTTGTGTGCATGCAGAAGGGATAAGTTGGGAATAGAAATAATAGATAGGATGGATTGAAATTTTGTGGACGTTGAAAATTTTAGGAGTGATTTGGGTAAAAATGGGATAATCCTGAAGTGTCGTCCCCCCTGGTTCAGATTACTACCGGTCATATTACCGGGGGGGTCCACGGTATACGTCAAATCAGATACACCGGTTTTTGTTTGGCATTGAATAATACTGGAAATAATAACGGTCAATCAAAACTTATTTATTGTAGGCCAATTATGGCAATGTGGTCCATTTAACGATCATCTTTCGGGAGTGACAAGTTGACAAATGAACAACATTGACATGAATCCGATCGACGTTGTTCGTTTGTCAACTTGTCACTCCCAACACAGTTAACCCGTTTTTGGGTAGGTTCAGTTTTGACCGATCTGGGTGGATTCTACCCAAATTTGGGAAGTTTTGGAATAGCGTGAAAACAATGCGTTTTGTTTTAGACGGCGGGATTTATCTTCGGCAAAGTTGTGTTGTTATTTTCTCGTTTCTCTTTATCTTCTTTCTCGTTTCCCGTGACACGTTGGAGTATCAGTTGTCAAAATTATAGAAAACATTCTCTTCGTGTGGTGGCATTGTAATTAGTGAAACATATTTTCGTCGGTAATTCGTAAGTTTTGTGTTAATTATTAGAGAACCCCCTTCATTATGGTTGACGAAAGCACCCGGAAAACACTGAGCAGCATTCCACTATTACAAACAAAAGCGGGTCCCCGGGATAAAGATCTTTGGGTTCAGCGGCTGAAGGAAGAGTACCAAGCACTGATCAAGGTGGGTTAGTATGGATACATTTTTGACAATAAAATAAAATCGGCATTTGAATTGCAGTACGTACAAAACAACAAAACTTCCGATTCGGATTGGTTCCGGCTAGAGTCCAACAAGGAGGGCACCAAGTGGTTCGGCAAATGTTGGTACGTTCACAATCTGCTCAAGTACGAATTCGATGTGGAGTTTGATGTAAGTGCTTTCCTGGGTTTATCTTTTTACCTTGTGCTAGGTGAAGGTAATCTTTTTCGATCAGATTCCAGTAACATATCCAGCGACGGCACCGGAAATCGCCTTACCAGAACTGGATGGCAAAACTGCTAAGATGTACCGAGGGGGAAAGATCTGTCTGACGGATCACTTCAAACCACTCTGGGCACGGAATGTGTGCCCAAATTCGGTATAGCACAAGCAATGGCACTTGGGGTGAGTACTGATGTTAATCTTTTCTGTTCATAGATGTTAACTATTATCAAAATCGATCTATTCCAGCTTGCACCCTGGTTAGCCGTGGAAATACCGGACTTGATAGAGAAAGGCGTTATCTCATACAAAGAGAAAGGGGAAACCTCGAACTAGATATGACATTTATCCACTTTACGATATTGCTTATTTTGTTTAACTATCATTATGGTGATGCAAATAGATAATTTACTCATTTTGGTTGCTTATAAATGGGTTCATAATTCGCTGTTACACATATCACTGACAAATGAAAGTCTTAATTCGAAGAAATTCCACCAAAAGTAAAGTTGGTTGTTGCTTGTTTTCAATTTTGTTTGTTTTTATTATTCTTGCTCGAGTATCCAATCATCATCATCAGCGTAAGATCCATTAGCGTGTGGTTGTCATCATTGTTAAAGACGTGTCTGTGTGTGTGTTCGAGTTTCTTATTTCACTTGCAATCGCGTACAATATTGGAACCATGTTCGAAACCAAGTCCGATCGTCCTTCTCCTCTTCTTCTTGATACAATTTACTTTCATGTTTAATTGTTAATTTTAGCATCTTTCTCTCATTTGTGTGTTAAGGATATTATAAGTATTGAATATTTTTTTATGTAAGACTTCCAATTTAAACTTGTTTGTTTATTTCGAAGTGTTCGAATTCAATTATTTTGCAAATTCTGCTTCGACGTTCGACCTATTCCACCACATTGCTGCTCTCTAGGCTATCTAAAGGAGAAGCCTTCAAAAAACTAAAGGGAAGTAATGAACTCAAGTGCATTGTTAGTATTTTGGAAAACTAAAACAATATGATTAGAAACTGAACGTAGAAAGATTAGTGACAAAAAAATGATAGCTTTGTGGTTTAATCACAGCGCGTTCAAAACTGACAAAAAATAAGTCCTAATTCAAAACCTTCTTCTTCTGAGTATCTACGGTTGCGGTAAAAACTAATTCATAGAATAAAATAAAATAGAAAAGTAAAAAAACAGCAGTGATACTATTTCCTTTGTTCATGAAAAAACAGAGTGCATGAATCTGTTTAGTTGTTGTCGGTTGTCTCTTCTTCACTTCTTCTCATTCCAAACATCGCCACCGGAGTTGGCCGGTGCCCAGATTGAGCTTAGACGGAAAGGGTCGTACGTCGGAACGGAGGAGGCGTTAGCATTGACCCCATTCGAATCCTGCTGTTGCTGCTGCTGCTGTTGTTGCTGTTGTTGGAGTTGTTGTTGTTGCTGCTGATGTTGATGGTGCATAACGTTCAGTTGATGTGCCTGTGCCAATAGAGATGCATTGGGGTTGGGCTTTACAGGAGAAAAACCTGGCGGAGCCCGAAGAGGCATCTGCGGTGGACGCGACGTCGCATCCGGATTGAGCCAGTTGTTAGTCAAACGCGAATTCATGTGCATAGCCGACACAGCCTGGTTGGATTGATGCTGCAGGTGATTAGCCTGAGGGAATACTGAAGGGGAAGTCCAAAGTGAATTCCAGTCCATCAGCGAAGCAGAATTCATTTCTTCGTTCTTTTGCATCATTTGCCAAAGTCTGTTAGCATCCCAAACGCGTTGGTCCAGTGCCATTTGGTTCAAGTCGCCGACGGGATCCATTCCCCCAGAAGCACTCAAGCCATGGTTGTTGTTCAATCCTCCGAAAGCCGACTGCGCTTGAAGATCCGGTCTATTCGCCTGGAGTGAAGTAGCCCCACGGAACTGATCTCCACCATGGTTGTAGTCTCCAAAAGCTTGCGAAAAATAGCTATCCGAGTTGGTTAGATTATTACCGATGGAAACAGGTGTGGGCCGTTGAATGACATTGCCGAACGGTTCCCAACATTTTGGCGTTGTCGATGGGGATTTCTTGGAAGTTCCAATAGGGCCCAGCTCTGAGCCAACGTCAGTGTTCAGATCCTTTTCCACCGCAACGAGACCGTCATCCTTTGGCTTACCGAACAGAGAAGCAGCCACTTTCGAAGCATCACCCTGAAGCTGATCGGATCCGATGGATAAGGCCATCGGATTTGAAGAAGTACCAACGCCAAAACTATTTCCACCCATCAAATCAAAATTCAACATCTTGGCTGCACCACCCAAAGCATTGCCGCTGGCGTTGGCGGTCGGTTTTTCCAAGGTGGCTTGGGCTACAACGTCACTGAAGCGAGCGCGATTTTCACCCCAAACGTTGGGTGGCGTTGGGACCTGGCTGCTGCTGGTAGGGATGTTGTTACTGGTGAAGAAGCATCCGGCACCCGTGCCATTGTTGTTACCTCCTTTGGCACCGAAGTTTGACGAAGAGTACTGCAGGGCCTGGGCCTTGTGCATGGACTTGGAGTTGGAACCCTTTTTGTTGTTGTTGTTGGATTTGCGCTCGCGGCCAGGAGTTTTTCCGAATTTCTTTGGCTGGGACGAGTCGTTCTGAAACGGGATTAGTGGTGTTGTGTGAATTTTTCAGAAGTAAGTATATGATTATGTCAATACTTAGAAAAGCGAGCGTTTGGTAATCATAAATTTTGCTTGAAACATGGACAAAAATCAAGCTGAACAAAGCACAGACAGATTCTCTTCGTCGATTTTTACTTTGCATCCCCTCGGCCATGTATAGACATTTTCAGCTATTTTCAACAAATAGTTCAATAAAAGACGTTATTATCTAGCGTCTAATATGCCAAACGCGATAAGAAACGGTTTTGTAGCCAAGTCATTAACGAAATAGAAAGTCGACGAAGAGAATCGATCAATGGTACTTAAGACCTAATGTATTGTTCGACTTGAAATATGCAAATATTCATAGCATTTCATTAGTATAGTCGCTATATTCATAGTCTGGTGGGTAGAATCTAGGGAACCAATTGAGCTGTCAAATAGCGGAACCAATCAAGCAAATCACGACCAACAACAGAAAAGAGCACATCAGCTATTGCGAACAAAACTTCGGAAACCATTTTCTCCAGGGTGGCCAGCAAACCGGGAAAACCGGGAAATATCCGGGAATTTGAAAAGTAACCGGGAATACCGGGAAAAACCCGGGAATTCAGCGAGAGAACCGGGTAAATAAATTAACCATACCCTAAGAAAAAATTTTACATCAGAATTTCAGAATAAACCATTAAAACAGCGTGATATTTTACCAAATAAATGTCTTGTTCTATTTGCTGCATAATTTTCTTCAGTTTACTTTCTTATTGTTTTTAGAATTTAATCACTCAGCAATATTCCAAATTGATTTTTTTCGTCTCAATTTCAGATGTAAAGTGCATGGTCCTTAAAATAAAATATTGAAGATGCTGGACTTTGGAAACAAATATTTGTAAAAACTGAAACTGAATTATTCTTTTTCGGGGTTTTAATGTTTCGTTCTTCTTAGAATTCCATTGAGCCTATACGGAGACTTTTTATTTCTTTGAAAATCTTTTCAAAAATGTCTTTTAACTCTATTTAAAACAGCAGAAATCTTTCGAAAATTTATTTAGAAACCCCTTGGAGTATTTTAAAGAATTTTTTTCTAATCAGCAAATTTTTTGCAATCAATTTTGTTGGAGCTATGTGATGAATCTTTCGCACTAGGGTTGAAATTATTGCCAGAACACCCTTAAAACTCTGTTTCTTGTTGAATTATGATCATAATTCTCTTGGAATTCTTCTTATAATTCATCTGCCATACAAATCTCCTCAGAATCACGTAGTGATTTTCCGCAAAGTTTTGTTTTTCAAAACTCCTTTTTAAATCTTCTAAAATTACCTAACAATTTAATTTAGAACTTGCATTCTTCTCCATAGAAATTCTTCCAAATTTATCTAACAATTTCTAATGATTTTATTTCAGAATAATTCTGGAAATCTGCTCAGAATTTCTCCTTCGAAAACTGTGTGGGAATCCTTCTCAATATTTGTTTGAAAGCAACACTTTGAATTATTTTAAATTTTTCTAAAAAATCCAGGGTTTGTCCGCTATATTCTATAGATTGCTATGTAATTTGTTATAACCATTAAAATGCTTCCAAGTCTCAGAGCATGACAATTATGACTCCACGACGCATAAGTATAATATTTATTTTTTTCAAATCTGTTATCTTGAAAAAATTTCAAAATCTCACATTTGAATTATTTTTACTCCAAATCTTGCATCAAGAAGATTGTTATTAATCACAAATTTTTAAAAAAAAGGTCTAGTTTCAGACTATACACACATTTTAAAGCTCCAGAATCATGGGAATCATCTTAAACCACTTTTTATGCTTTCTGTAAATTCCGTTTAGCACGTTCTTAAAAATGCGTTCAATTTCGTTTTTTTTTTGTTGAATACGAACAACCGGGAATTTTTTAAGATTTGAACCGGGAAAACCGGGAAAAAACCGGGAATTTCAAAATGAAAATTCACTGGCCACCCTGTTTCTCGTGATTCAAGACTCGCCTACGCAAACTAACACTATCTTTGGGTTGGGGAAAGATTCCCCTATCCGATGATGCCGGTAATTTGTGTTCGATTGTCGAGGAAAGATTAATCATCGTTTTGTTTATAAAAGTTGATAGGACTTTTTCATTTGTTGGTATACAATATATTGAAATGGTTCCGCTTTTTGATAGATCGAAATTATATTCGCCAGACTATGAATATAGCGACTATACTCATCAGCTGTTATTATGACAAGATACAGATGGATTTTGTGTGCAGTTCAGTTTACTCATAAATCGCAAAAAGTGCACAAACTCAGCGATGAGTAAATTTGCCTCATGTTTTCCTGTGGAAACCTAAAAAATCTGCCGGAAAATGTGGAAAATTTTCAAAAACTTTACTCAGTCTAGGAGTAGTACCAATCGACTGAGAGAATCCAATCTTTACTTTTCTCATATTCGGGTTTTTTTTTTCATGGAAAAACGAAGCTAATTTACTCATAGAATTGAATTCCTGCACTATTTACGATTTATGAGTAAACTGAACTCAAATTTGGGTTGATCTCATTGGGCGTGAACTAACACTTGGTGAATAATAAGTAAATATGAATTCCACAGGACGTGGTACCCTGAACTCCGACAGGCTTTTGGAAATCTATTCTCTTGCTGTGTTTCAGAAGCTCAGGAAGTTCCGGAACATACTGTAGGTTTAATCCAATCTCTGCAGTAACTTACAAATTCTGTAAGTATTTGTAAGTTACTTCAACTGCAGGAACACTGCAGCAGCTTCAAGGCCGTTGAAAGTTGGAACCAACTCAAAATTGAGCGAGGTTCCCCATTGGCATAAGAAAAACTCCTTTCCATACTCACCTTTCCACCGTGTTCACCGAAGGCGCTGCCATTTTCCTTCCCGGAATGCTCCCTAAACTTGTCCGCCCCATTCTTTCCGCCCGGTCCCTTTCCGGACGATGATTTTTCACTCCCATGGTGATTATTCTTGCCGCCGTTGTTGCGCAGTCCTGCGTTGCTGTTTGCCGTGGTTCCGTTGATTTCTTTTGCCATTGACGCAGCTGCCGGTTTTGGCGGCGTCATGACAATCGATGTACCCAGTGCAAGTGAAATACCAGCCGACTCGTAACCAATCGGTAGGCTCTTGGTCTTTTTCACGTTCAGTTTGACTGCTGGTGGTTGTTGTGGAGATGATACCGTTGCTTTCGTCTGTTGTTGCTGTTGCTGCTGCTGCTGATGATGATGATGACCGTAGTTGATGATGTGGTTTTGGCTGGTACTCACGCTGACTGTAGAACTAGATTCTGGTTTTAAGTCACTGGTAGGAGTTCTGCTTGGAGCGTGATGCTGATGATGATTGGCCGTGGTAGATAATTTGGTTGGTTTGGAATCGGATAAGGTCGATTTGTACGAAGGCGAAGTTAGTGATGAGACCGACAACGAGGACATTGTTGAGGATGATGTTTCCGAGCTTTCCGTCGTAGTGGAACTGGAATCGTCTTCGATTGCAACTTTGTTACGTTCTTTGGTGCTGCTGGTGGTGGTGGTGGTGGGAGTGGATACGAGGTGATTTGAACTCAACCCGAGAGGCGGGATTTCCTCCTTGGGAGGAGTAATAGATCGACGGCTCTTCTGAGACCGCTTGTCCGTTTCCGGTGAGGATTTGCTCGTCGTGGGCTCCGTTGACTTGGAATTGAAACCTCTTCCCAGTTTCGAGGTGAAATCGTTCCAAGTTTTGTTGAATGCATTACCATTGGGAACTTTCGAGTTGAGCTGTTTGGTAGAAGGTTTCTTTTTTGCACTATGAACTTGGTTGTTTCGAGAGTTGTTCTGATTGGCTGGAACTTTATCCGCACTGACGTCGTCCGTAGCGGTCGGACTCTGCAGGGCAATCTGTCGAAGATCCAATGGTGGTTGAATGGGGCCTCTATCTCTGGACAGGTTGATAATGTGATCCTTTATGACATTGTTCGCATCCAGGAATGCGGCCATTAGAGTGCCCACGAAAGCCAACGAAAGCACACAGATCAGGATGATTTTCAGTACCGGCTCGAACCACGGCCTCTTTAGACTTAAGCTACAAGATTCCAATCTATGAGCTGGAACAGTTCCCAGCAGGGTAAAATTCACGGGAAAGTTTATGTTAGTATCGAAGTTTAGCGTCCTCGTGACCCTCGCCAGGGTAAAGTCAGGAGAGAATGCTATTTCAATCTTCTTGCTCGCATTCGGCTGCAGTTCAAAGGGAGAACAATCGAACACTTTGAAACCGTATCCTTCGCAAAGGATATCCTCCACCCGAATACCAGATATCGCAATGGGAACCTCGCCATAGTTGCGCGCCGTAAACGAACGCTTCGTTTGAATTGCGAGCGCGATCTCATCAACACCCGGTTCCTGGAACTTTGCACACGTTTTCAGATGCTTATCCGTTATTTCAAACTGCAACGCCGTAGGAGACCCAGGCTTCCTGTTGCCAAACTTGAACTGCGGTACCACAGCTTTGGCTTGTATCCAAACCGCATCTATCAGGGTAAGATTGTTGCGCATGTAGAAAACGGTCGAGTAAGTCCCTGGCACTTTGGACGTGAACTTTACTGCTATCTTCAGGAACGAGTTCGGCTTCACGTAGTTCACATAGATATCGTCGTAGTCGAACAGGAAGAATGAAAACACGTTCTCCTCACTCAAGCTACAATTCTCACAGTTGGACAATATCTCTGGCGGCAACGCACTGATATCGTTCCCATGGACATTTACATCGTGCAGCACCAAATGCACGAACAGAATTTGATCCGACGGATTGTTAATGGTAATAAGTTTCACCGCCTCTTGCTCTATCTGCAGCGTAGGAAAGTGGATATTTTCCGTCAGCAGCTTTGGCCACACCAGATCCACCGTCGCATTGAACTCAAACTTCCGGATCGGATCCGTAGTCAGCTGAAACCGGATACTCTTCCAGGACTGCTTCATTTCCGAGTACAGCTGCAGCTGTTGTAGCAGTTTCTCGCTGTCCAACTTCCGATACTGTTCGTAGTTGTCCAATGTGGCCATCCACTTGACCCCGAACGGTTTCGAAAGCAAATCGAAGCTACTGTAGCAGTCCATCTTGCAAATCACCTTCGGATCGAACACCAACCGGCCGATGTTGGTCACCGTGTTCGGGTGAATCACCGGCTGCCGGCTTTCCACCGTGAACTCGATTCCGTCCACATCGGTCTTGATACCCTCCACGTGGATCTTCGATAGGAACGTTGAATGGGCCGTCAGATTAAGTGAACATAGCTTGCCCTAAAACGATAGTAAAAAAAAAAATACAATAATTAGTCACGTGACAATAGTAACGGTTTGCATGCAATAGTTATAGATCGATAAATGGGAAGCACTGACGTAGTTCGCGGCTGGTGGCCTATATCATTGCACCCACGGCAGGTAGGAAGGGGGTGATATCGATTCAGAACAGCTGCAGACTTTCATGCAATATTTTTTTTCTACTGTTCTATGTGATGATTAGGAACATGTGTTGAATGTGGAGCGAATATGGAAGAGCAGCTCTTAATAGCAGTGTGCCATTGCAGGTCAAGGTGCACGATGTACCTACGTGTACAATTTTAGTGACGAGCCGTAGCGGGATACGTGGCCACAAGTTGCAATGCGATCAATGCTGAATATTCGTTTTGCTGCGAGATATCGGATTATTTATATCAACGTGGGAAAAATGATATTGGAAATGTTTACTTTTTTATAAATCCCATATGAGAACAACTTTCAGAGTATTTTGCTGAATTTACACCCGCAGTTAATGTCCGGTGGGCAAATTGTTTCACCCCGCTAAATACAGTGAAAATAGCACTGTTCTAATGGCTATTCATTATATTATGTGAGGCTATTAGGCCGAATGGGTCATTAGGCTCATCACTAGATGCATTTCAACGATTTAATTCGAGGTTTGTCATGAAATTAGCATGAAGACCTTCAGGAAATGCTTCGAAAGCTCCTCAGAGTTCCCCTTAAATTGCTTGTTTGTTGTAGTAATAATAACTACATTGAAATTTAGTATTCAGAATTCCTAAAGGAACTGGCAAGTCACAATGAAATTGTTGTCTAAATGCCTTTTTGTATAATTGATAGTTTTTGAGACTACCCTAGGCAATTAAAGCCCGATTCAAAGTAAATTTGGACGCATTCAAGTGATCATAACTCAAGAACTAAACAACATACACGGTTGATCAAAACGTCGAACAAAAGGGTATTTATTCAGCTTTCAAACGAGTTATTACATTTCACCGTTTCGAACGAACTGTCGCACTTTACTTGTGATCGATGCCATCATGATCTGCACAGTCGCCGGTGACACTGTACCGGTGAACTTATTCCACTTACAACGCATTTGTTGTGCATTTGTCACTTCTTTACCGCATCCTCGAAGTTTTCGCTTGACAATTGCCCAATATTTTTCGATCGGTCTGAACTCAGAGCAATTCGGAGGATTAATCTCTTTGGCGACGAAATTAACATTGTTTGCAGCATACCATTCTAGTACATCCTTAGAGTAGTGACAGCTGGCTAGATCCGGCCAAAACATAACGTTGGTCTTGTGTTGCCGAATGAAGGGTAAAATCCGCTTTTTCAGACACTCTTTAATGTAAACCTTCTACAGGGTGTCTACTCAATCCAAGGAATCAAATTCCCTGAGTTTTCCAGGTTTTTCCAGGTCGGATGAATAAAATTCCAGGTGCATACAAATTATACACATTATTTTTTTTTCTATTAATCCATCTGGAATTCCTTTTATGTACTTATTGATTTATGTTATTTTTGATTGTTCAAACTTGGGCGCTGGTACTTGTAAGTCGGCTCAGCAAAAAAGTTATTGAATATTACAGCAGAACAGATGCACATAGGTTGTTTAATATTAATTTGTACAATTTATGTTTAGTAAATGCACCAATAGTGGAGGTACGTTAGTACAATGTACTTCTACAGCGGCTTAGGGAGACTCTATAAGCCACCATAGGAACACATTGCACTAAAGTACCTCCACTATAGGTGCATTTATCCTAGTATTTTTTTAATTCAAGAATATAAATACAAGTAAGATTCGATAAAACGATATATCAAAATTTGATAACAATATGCTTTCAAAAACAAAATATAATTTGAATAATATGTTTGAATCCAACTCTGTTTGAAAGATCAAGACAGAATAAATCATGGTTTCACATGTCTACAATCTCTTAAGGTCCGTTTAGACTATCTGATTACTTGGTCTGATTTTGACCGCCGCCATAATGAAAAATCTGCTCAAATTTACTTTCGACACACTTTGTCGAACGGGGGGTGTTTGCTGGTGTTCACACTGCCTGCATATGTCAAAAGAACTGTCAATTTAGATTTCAAAACAAAACTGTATCAGGAATCAAAAGAAAATACTTCCATCATGAATTACCGGAAAATTGCTCTTGTTTCGGCAGACGTATTTGCTTTTATTATTTTAAATAAAATGAGAAGGAGAAGGTGAACTTTGTGGAGTAGGAAATGGTTGCTCAGGAGGAACACCGGCAGGGATCTGGCTCATCTTGTCCTTCAAGAGCTGCGATATGAAGATGAAAATGGATTTCAAAACTTCGCCAGGATGTCGATACCAACTTTAGACAAGCTAGTGGGAAAAGTTCTCACTAGATCTACATGATTCCTTGAGTTCTGAAAATTTCTGTTAACAACGCAATTCTGCATGGTCTTCAAACCTTTTGACGTCCCTGAAGTTTTGTTTCTGTTCTCCGGTAAAATTTCTTTAAAGATCACAATCTTTCCTGATGATCTGCAAATTTCTCGGTAGTTCTACAGATTTCTTTGAAGTTCTGTGTGTTCTTCAGAAGTTCTGCAAATTTTCCTAAGAATCTACAAAGTTTCTGAATCCCTGAAGATTTAAGATCCTTGAAGATCGACAATTATCTCTGATGTTCACAAAATATCTAATAATCTACAAACTTCTCGAAAGTTCCGTAATTTTTTCTGCAGATTTTCATGATTCAATGAATATCTGCAAATATCTCTGAACATATCTATACAGTTTTCTAAAGAATTAAAAGATTATCTAGAAATTTTTGAGCTTTCCGGAAGTTTTAGGAAGTATTCTGAAGTTTTTCTAATTTTTCTCAAGCTGTGCAAATATCTCTATATATCTCTGAAAATTTATTTAAACATCTGCTAATTTTTGAGTAGATTCACGATCTACCCTCTGAACTTTTCTGAAGTTTCTAAAATTTATTTCAAATTCTGTAATGTTTTCTAAAGTACTGTATTTCTGCTCTAAAGATCTACGAACTGCCCTGAAGTTCAATAAATTTCACAGTAGTTCTCCGAACTTTTCTAAAGTTCTTTAAATTTCTTTGTGGATTCTTGATCTAAAGACCGGCGAACTTTCCCGAAGATCTGTTAGTTTTGCTGAAGTTTTGCAAATTTTTCTAAAAACGTACGAACTTTCTGACGTTCTACAGACTTCTTTTAAGGTCTACGGACTTCTCTGAAGTTCTTTAGATCTATCTACTTCCGACTTCCATGGAGTTCTGCAAAATATTGTACTTTTGTACTTCGCTGCGATTTGTTTTTGGAATTGAGGTGCTTTTCTGACATTTAACGAATTTTTCTGAAGATCTCACAATTTGTGTGAAACTTTCTGTCAAATTCCTGCAAATATCTTGAAAGTTCTGTAAAGTTGTCTTAAGCTCCGTAGCTCTATTCCCAAAATCTACAAAAAAAAAAACTTGAAGCTCAATAAATTTCTCAGTAGATCTGCAAACTTCTCTGATGTTTTGTTAATTCCTCTCGGGTTACCCTGAAGATTTGAAAATTTCCTTGAAGATTACCTAAAGTTGTCAAAATTTATCTGAAAATATTTGAGCTTCCTTGAAGTTTTAAATGTCTCTCTCAAGATCTACAAATTTTCCTGCAGTCGTGTAAATATTTTTTTTTAAATTGCTGAACTTCCCTGAAGTTCTGCAATTTTTACTGAAGATCCAATAACATTTCTGAGATTCTTGTGATTTTTTCAGAAGTCCTGTAATTTTTTTCAAAGTTCTGTAGCTTTGCTCTGAAGATCTACGAACTTTTCTGATGTTGAATAATGTTTCGAGGATCTCCAAACTTATGTGAAATACTTTATATTTCACTGTAGATTCTTGCACTTGTCTAAAGTTAAGCGAATTTCCCTGAAGATTTGCAAAATTTCGCTTATAGTTTTACCAATTGATTTGAAATTATTTTTGCTTGCTTGAAGTTTTGAAAATTTCTTTGAACATTGATCTGAAGATCTACGACCTCTCTTGTGATTTTGTTTTTATAAATTTCTATTAATTACTTTTAATTTGTTTGTAGTTCTGTTCTCAAGATCTACGAACTACCCTGAAACTCAACACATTTCTCAGTAGATCTCCGACCCTCTCTGAAGCTCAAAAAAAAAAAAATTATATGTAGGCTCTCAGACCTGCTGTCTGGCATGCTTATTCTTATACAATACATGCTTCGTATGCTTCCTTTTGACGGTTGCCAGTCTCTCTTCTTCGACTGTTTCCTGTTTACGACTATTTTGATCCTCCACATACAAATCAGCGAAGAGCGAGCGTGACAAGACTCTCTGAATGAACTTGTCTCGTTCGCACACGTTGTCTTAGCTGTCAGATGCTTGTCAAGTTCAGTGCCCTTAAGAAACGTTTCGACAAACTGAACGAAAAACTTCTTTTGAATTACGAATGAAGTGATAATTGGAAAATTCCAATGGAACCAAAATTCCCTGAATATTCCAGGTTTTTCCAAAAAAAGTAAAATTCCCGGTTTTTCCAGGTAGTAGACACCCTGTTCTACGTCATTGTGTGAGATGTGATGAAAACCATGATTTTAAGGCCACAACTGCAGATTCCTTGCCAAATCATTAGTTTCCGAGCAAACTTATCAGCAAAAACAAATTTATACCTGGAAGGGACATCCCCACGACCACTAAATTTTCGTCCGGGAATTTGTTTATAATCCATTTTGACATAACAAGTCCAGTCACGAACGTGTCGATCGCCAAGCCTAATGTCTAACAGTACACGTTGAACTTATTCAAGCCTCGCCCGTACGTGGTCATCATGAGAAAATTGTTTTTCTCAAAAAGGAAGTTATGAGCTAGGATACGCAAGCACCATCAACAGTGAGGACCCTAAATACTGCAAACTGTTTTCCAAGAAACAACTCCAGGTAATCGAACAGGATACGTTCTCTACAGAAGCTAACGTACTCTGGCAAAGGTATCCTCGTAGAATTGAAAGGCCTCTCTGTTGGCAGTTGTCGTACCTGTTATTGGAGAAAACGAAACATCATTTTTAGTTGGTCTTCCGACCAAGCAACATGCATTGGAATGGTAGTTATTTAAGGTTAACCATTGTATGCATTTATATTATATTTTTAAATAAATCTCATCATTTTACTCCATATTTTTTCAATACCAAATTATCATATGTGTCACGAAAAGATAGAAATATGATAAAGTGTTGCAGGTTGATTAGTACATTTTATAATTTATTTGTTTGTAAATAGCAACAGAACTGAGAATGATAGCTCAATTTTTTCTAAAAAAAAGTGTTAATGTGCTTACGACGCTATCGAGGTATCATCTAAATAATTCAAAGATTAAATTTAATTTTTGAATTTGGCTTGTGATATGTTAACGATGTATTACTTGGATAACAGACTATAATTTTTGAAGAATTTCTTATACATATTAAAAATTAGAGCAGTGGGACAGATATGCGTCCATTTTTGCAATGGAACAAAACGACTTCACATTTTTTCACCTTTCTTGGAATATTCAGCATGTTTTAATTTAATATTTAAAAAAATATGTATTGATTTATAACGTTAAGCATCATAACCTCAAAAAAGTCTAAATGTCACATGGGACAGTTATGCTTCCACCAGCAGCGTAGACATTTGTTAACCCCCCCCCCCTCCATAAAAAGTCTACGTAGTTTATGAACAGCCCCATATCAATTTCGGAGTGAGGCGTCCACCACTTGGTCATCTTTCCTTTCATTCCTCTTGAGTCTTGATAACTACATACAAAATTCTTCTTCCTTTGACATCGATTGCCATCCATTGACGGCAATCGAATGTGCAGGAAGGCAGCTTCCACACCTGCGCAGGATATCGCACCCATTCAACACACATGCGCCGGGACAAACGGCTTTTCTTCCCTTCCGAAGAATGACGTGACCAGAGATTTTTATGCCTCAGAAAAATCCTATCGACCTCCGCTGGGATTGAACCCAGACCCATTAGAGTGAGAAAGCAGTCACGCTTACCACTACACCACCGGCGTACCAATTAGCGGTAGAGATCTTTCTCATTGGCTCGTCATGAGTAAATTCTTCGTTACCAGATCCTTCAACTGGAGATAGAACCATGTCGATGATTATTCATCAAACATAAAACCGATATCGAATTTCGATTATCGTTGATATCGGATTTTTAAATATCGGTTATCGTATCCTACTGATCGGGAAACAAATGACCTCCCAGTAAGATAAAAATCAATAATTATTGATACCACGCGAGATTACCCTTCCCGTAGTGGGCTCCCGCCGACGAGGGAAAGAATAATATATATCCCATCAATGAGGCTATCGCGCATTTGTCCCGCAACATTGTCGACGTTAGTAAACATCAACATAAACTGAGTGGATGAGGGGAGCGCGCATACCCAGCAATAATAAACAAAAGAGTTACACACCCCACATTCAAACCGGGTGTTTCATTGCTGATAAGTAGAGTTTCCCACAGAAACCGCTAAAGCAATAATACTGATAATAATAATAATAACATACAGAATTCTACTCACCGGGAAGCAGTTTTCAAAGTGTAACAGCTCCCTGTTGAGTTCCAGCTTTCCGACAGCTGTGGTGAAGCTAATCGGTGTCACAATCTCCTCGTAGTCGGTGGTTATGCTGAACTTGCCATGATAGCTGTCCGTCGTACTGGACTGCACGCTGACCTGAAACACCATCCAATGCTGCGGCAGAATGGTGTGACAGAATATGAGATTTTCGCCCTCGTGTGGTCCGCAGCCTCGCAAGATTACGGTTATGGTAGGCGCACCGAAACCCTCCGAAGTGATGGCTCCTTTCCAGTGGCGGATCGCAATCTCCTCAGGGTTGGCGTTGAAAAAGGCAATCAGCGTTTCGCCGATCGTCGAGATCGGAAGGATGCCGAAGTTCAGTTCCTTCTCGTCCAGGTCCAGCTTTTCGTAGTCTGCGGGAGGGCGGATGGTTGTGGTGGAGAAGGGTAGGATCCGTTTGAGCTTCCCGGTATAGCTGTAGACGGGAAGTTCGTAGTCGGTGATGTTCGTCATCAGACGGATGTAGGACGCGATGGACCGGTTCAAACTGTCGGTGAGGATTCGGGATATCCGGAGAAGGGTTTCCTCCTGATCCGGCTGCAGAACCTTGGGTCGGAATCCTTCGATTCGGAAATTCCGCGAGCAATTCTCAGGTACGCTGATGTTTGAGATTGATAATGGCACGTTGAAGTTGTTCCGGATCACAACACGGCGAGGGATTTGAAGTTGCGAGTTTTGATTCGACTGTTGGTCGTCGTCTTCGGATGTGAGGAATTTCAGAACTTCGGGATCGTATTTAAGACTTCCTTTGAGAACCTGCACTGAGATTGGAATATGGTAGTATAATCCTAAATCTTCTCTAGATCCTTCGAATGTATAGCCCACATGAACTAGCCCCGTGACCAGTATCCTATCTGGAGATATTTTCGACCAGTCTATCTCCAAGTGGACCTTGTTGTGCGGCTGCCGGGTGATGTGTACTTTTGAGCTGTGAACAATCTCGCCATCAACACCCCAGCTAAGAATAAAGACTGGACGTTCGCCGGAATTTGTCAGATTCCAACTTATTTTAGTGATATTTTCCTTTGTATCACCGATGGTTAGGTCCAAGAATGGCATCCTGGTGTAGAGGCCCGTTTCTGTCTGTATTTCGATTTCGATCGGAACCACCAACATTTTGTCGATGAGAGTTGGCTCGTCGCTACCGCCAGATATTTTAATCCTTACGTAAGCCGTATGATTTCCAGGTGTCTTTCCGTGGAATCGAACGCGGATCACACTCCTGGTGCTATGCGGAGGGATCTCCCATAGAGCTTGTGGCCCTTCCTGAGCTCCACTGGGCAGCTCCAGCTGGAAGTTACCGCCACTACTGTAGATTTCCACGATCTGAAGCGGTGTGTCGTGAGGATTATATAGGGTAATCTCAGGTGTAAGCGTAGCATTCAGTGGGGCCCTAAGGCCTACCAATGGTTTCAGCCGATACGGGCATTCGATTCCTTTTCCCTTGACATGATACTGCAATAGCCCGAACGAGGTGTGAATCTCGATGGACCCCGCCGTTGCCCCAAGCTGTCGAGGCAGAAACACTACGTTGAACGTGGTATTCCCTTCAGGAGGGATGACCGTTTCCTTGAAGTAAGAGCTGTAAAAATCCGGAGTACTGCCGGATATCGAACCAAGAAACAGACTTCGACTCTTATGCTTATTGATCAGGATTACCACCTGGTTGTGCGGATCGCCGATCGAGCGTTCGAGGAAATCTAGCAAGCTCGGCTGGAAAACTAAATTCCCCACTAACTCCGGGCTCGTTTTCTCTGTCCCTAATCCTCCTACACCTCTACTCACTGCCTCACCTCTTTGAAACATTTCGTCCATCAAATCCTGCGACGATGACGAGAACATTTCCTGTGCGCCAAAACTCAGCTGATCGCTTTGCTGTTGCTGCTGCTGGGGCTGTTCCGACTTAGCCTGAGCCTCCAGCTGCAGGAATATCACCAACAGACTGAATACACGAACCGTGCGCTTCCTGCTGGCCATGTTTGTTTTCCTTCTTCCTATTTCTCTACCTTCCAAAAATCCTTGCTCCTTCCTTTTTCTGTTCGCCGATAGTCACGATACTGTTGTTTCCTTTCTATTTCCGTCGACAAACCAACGCTCGATGCATTTTCCTTCGTGGGGATCGACTCACTGTGCTCCCCAGAACTTCCACTTTGCTACTGCAAAGGATATGTGCTATCCTGCTACAGTTCCAAATGATCACGAATGTCTCCTGCTGCTGCAGCTGCTGCCAAACATTATTTTGTTGGTTGAAGCGAGAGCCCCGTGTGCGTGAAAAGAAGAGAGCAAAGGCAGAAAGGAAAAAAAAACGTCATGAAAAAAGTCCTCGAAACACACACGCGACGGTCTGGAGGAATCCAGCGCTATTTGGCCTACCTTATTACCGCTTTCGGACCGATCCTCTGTTCCGGCAAACACTTCCCGGTGAAAACCAACCGTCCGCACGACGATATGACGCAAGTTTTGTCCGCTTTTGTTGTGTCCCCGAAACGGGTTCTCTATTTTTTCACTGCAACTTTGCACCAAGAGTAAAAATCCGTCCGTCTTATCGCTCTGCTGCTGCTTTTCTTCTTCTCGCCTTCAGCCGAACCTTTTCGGGTGCATACACACGGAGAGAGAGACTAGCTAGGGTGACTTGCTATCCCGTTCACTCTACTGCGTCTCGGTTGCTTCGCGTGATCTCTCCACGCTCGCGGTTGTACACTGTACACAAACATCATCCTCTGATCGAATGAAACCTCAGACCATTCAAAACAAAACACCGTAATCGCTTTTTTGAATGATAGCTGCTACCGGATGACGGTTGATTGGAAATCAGATGATTTTCCTCTCGACTACAGGATGAAAATTGTTATGAGAAGGAATCGGGCCTTCAGTTGAAATGCGTAATGCTCTCTGCAGAATGACTGTCATACTAAATGGAAATGCATATGGTATTGGTTCAGCCCCATAACGCAAATCATTCAAAACGATTATGTAAATAATTCTATCGAACGTCATTTGCTGATCTGAGCTGACAAACGAGGTGGAAGCATATGCATCGCTATCAGAGCTGTTACGAACATAGGTAAAGGATGTAAACCAATAGTTGGCTAATTCGTGGTGGAGGAGGTTTTCTCCACCACGAAATTTTTTTGTGTCCATAAAGGAATGGCTTGTTATGGCTTTTCAGTATGGAATGGTAGATAATCAAATTATAAATCTAATTTAAAGCACTTGCATGTCACACTAGTCTTAAATGTTTGTCCTCTGAGTGCCGTATGTTTTATAGCTAATTTTCAAACGAAAATCATCCTGTATTTGGATGACAGTCATATGGATGTTCATCATCTGACGACGAATTTAACCATAAGAAAATCATCCGAAATTCGAATGCATATTGTTAAAGGGCTCGAGCAATGCAATAATCATTCGAAGTATTGCGGATGTTTTGGTTCAGTGTACTGTTTGCTGCCAAAAGCGCGATGCACCGCACCGAACTCACACACACACAGGTTTTTTTTATTTGGATTGTGTTTCTATTTTAAGACGAGGGGCTGCTCGTTTATTAGTAACCTGTTGTATCCTAAGTACGACTTAATTGAAAATTTAATCCTTAATGTCGCATAGATAAGCTTCGATAACCGTAAGGACACATAAATTGGGATTGCTCTTAGATATAGCGTTTTCTTTAAGTTATTCGTAGTAAAAAGGCGAAAAAATGCCGGTAATTTGAACAATATCTCAAAAGTAGTACAAAACTCTTCGGTTGAAGACCCCTAGTTTGTTTATTTTGGTTAATTTCTTCACACACACACCACTAGCAATCTGGCTAACTTGCGCGCAAGTTGCATGATTCGCGATTAGACGTTCGCATCCGTCGCGCTCGAAGGGAGTTTGTTACAGAAGGGATTTAAGATTGGGCGATTTTTGGAGGATCGATCTTTTTCATCTCGATTTTAAATTGTTTCTCAATTGACCACTTTGTCAAGCAGTTTTGACGTGACTTTCTACCAGCTATTCCACAAAACTGGACCAACTAATTTCTATTTTGTTATGAAACGCACAAATGTTGGCTACTTTTCTCGTGGTTCTAGAAGAAAAAATCTCAAAATAATATTTTATTTCCAAGTTCAAGTGGTAGTAAACGTCATTTCAACTGCTCGATTGAAGTGGTTAATTAACCACTTCATTCGAGCACTTAAAATGACGTTTACTACCACTCGAACTTTTAAATAAAACATTATTTTGAGATTTTTTCTTCTAGAACCTCGAGAAAAGTAGCCAACATTTGTGCGTTTCATAACAAAATAGAAATTAGTTGGTCCAGTTTTGTGAAATCCCTGGTAGAAAGTCATGCCAAAACTGCTTGACAAAGTGGTCAATTATAAAAACTACACTAATAGAATTCCACACATTTTAATTGACGAATTTCCAAGTAAAATTCCATGTGAATTTCATGTGACCACACTTAAACAGAATCCACCCAGAAGCACACATGAAATTTATGCGTCAAATGAATAGTATGTGTGGTTACAAATGGCTTTTATGTGTACACATATTAAGTATGTGTCCGACACATAGATATCATTTGTTGATCACTTTGCAAAAATTCATGTGTGGGACACATAAAAACAATCTTTGAAATTTTATCAGTGTAGAAGGGTCTGGGCACGAACGGAAGCTTGACGTAATTCTCGCGTAACATTTGAAACGGGCCTATCAACTTTTGGACACAAAACTTGTTAATCCCTTTTCGCGCCAACCGAATACGCCCACGCAAACTAACAACACCATCGAAGGGGGGGGGGGGAGAAATTCTCCCCTTCCCGATAGAGCTCTTGGTTTACGTAAGCATACTTCGGTTCTCGTGAAAAGGACCTAGCGAATTGTTTAGAAAAATTGATAATCCATTTTCAAATGTTATGCGAGCATTATTCATGTGTTCATTTTTAGGCTGTGTTCTATTCTAGCAGACTTATTTCTGACAGACAAGGAATCAAGTTTGACAGACGCTTTCTCGAAAATCGGCCGATCAACAACAGAAGGATTTTCGAACATCTTAATTTATTTTCGAAGTGTCAAATTTAAGTGAAAATTTTGCAAATGGAACACAGCCTTAGTAAACAGGACCCCGCTGTCGTGTCACTTTTTGTCGAGTGAGTGAACTCAAATCCATCCGTGTACTCGTCTATAGTGGACGGAACAAATGTGAAGAGCATTTAGTTCTTTTAATTGATCAATCATCAATTATCTTAACTCTTTCCGTTTTTTTTTTTATTTGTAAGCGTATCAAATTTGTAGTATTTTTTTCAAAGAGAAAGTTGATGAAGAGAATCAATCAAAATCACTTGCACCCCTGCTTCCAAGTTTGATTACAAGATTACAACTCTGGAGAGCATTTTCTGTGGTCTTTGGGGGCCTGTGGTTCTGAATATGGACAAGCAGGCACAGATAAATTCTATTCCTACTCTTTACTGTTATAAGCTTCTTGGCCCTGAAAAGGGCCGTTTTATTGTAGACGACATCCATGGCCACTTACGCTTGGCGTGTTCAGAGTAGGTGACAGCATCACGGATCACATTTTCCAGGAACACCTTCAGCACACCTAGTGTTTTCTCGAAGATCAAACCGGAGATACGTTTGACACCACCCCGGCGAGCCATACGACGGATGGTGGAGGCAAGGTTGCAAAGACTCATTTCAGCTAAAATATTGTTTTTCGGAATAATAAAACCAAAAGATGGTATGATGGCATGTTTAACTTGTAACTTACAAGAAGAGGTTACAAAGTATGCGTTGGAAACATAAAACCTGTAAATTTTGCTTTCTATGAGTCACAATCAGCGATTTGCTGATCGCTGAGTGAGTGAGTGAGTGAGTGAGTGAGTTTGTGGAAAATCGCTGATTGTGACTCTCATGAAGTGAAATAAACAGGTTTAATATGTCAAACACATTCTTTGCAACCTCTTCTTGTATCCTACCAATTCAAAATTTGATCATGGCATCTAATTATTTCATAATTTAGAAAAAAACATTGTTTTAGCTGAAATGAGTCTTTGCAACCTTGGGTGGAGGTGGTATCGAAGAACTTTGCGATGACGCTTGGTGCCTCTACCAAGACCTTTTCCTCCTTTACCACGACCAGTCAATTGTCGCTTGTTGGATGTAGAAGAATGAACTGCTGCTATTGATGCTTCTTCTGCCTGCTGACCCGTCTGAAGCGAAAATGAGCTGATGCCATAGAGCAGCGCATTTTATATCTTTTCAGTTAAAGCAGAATGTTGTGCAACCAAGTGGTACTGAATTATGACGACTGGGTTTGGGAAGAACGTTTAACAGTGATAAAATTATCACTTTTTATTTGTACATTGGACAATGCTTGACAATAGCACTTTTTCAATAGCTTCTCGTTTCAGTTGGAAACATTGCTATAGATGCGTAGAAATATTTCTGATCGATTGGTGATAAATTATTGAAATTGTTTCAAGAGCAGCTGAGTTATTAATGTTCAAAATCTTTCATAATTTTGTTTCATGTTCCATTTTTGGTTTTCACAAAATGTACCTCCAGTGTAGAAATGAAAGACATAGTCCTACGTCAAAATCCATGTTTTAAAATCGTAAAATTCGATCTTTCCGATAGATCTTCAAAGTTTGGTTGACATCGAAGACGAGATGTTTCATATTATAAGGGAAGTTCCAGGATATGGGGTTATGACGACTGCCGTCACATTTCCACAACTTTGTCGGCAATAGCCGAGTGCACGGTTGTTCATTTACTGAAAAAAAAAATGGACACAACAGTGGGGCTCTGTTTACTAAAAATGAACACATGAATAATGCTCGCGTAAAATTTGATAAGGGCCTATCAACTTTTGTAAACAATTTGCTAGGTTTTTTCACGAGAACCGAAGAACGCCCACGTAAACCAAGAGTACTGTCGGGATGGGGAGAATTTACCCTACCCGATGAAGTTGTTCGTTTGCGTGGACGTATTTAGTTCACGCGAAAAGGGCTTAACAAGTTTTGTGTACAAAAGTTCATAGGCCCGTTTCAAATGTTACGTGAGTATTATTCATGTGTTCATTTTTAGAAAACAGGGCTCCGCTGTTGTGTTACTTTTTTTTCGAGTAAGTGAACTCAAATCCATCCGTGTATTCGACAAAAAGTGACACAACAGCGGGGCCCTGTTTACTAAAAATGAACACATGAATAATGCTTCCGTAACATTTGAAACGGGTCTATCAACTTATGTACACAAAACTTGTTAAGCCTTTTTCGCGATCAGATCTGGCTCGAAAACTTAGGTGACGAACCTCTATTGCAATTCAGTGTACCACATGCCAACACTACTACCAACAATCAATACGAAACTAACGATTTTAAATTGTTTCCTTCTGCCGCACCAATCACATTGATGAGCATGGCACATGCGATTCTCCGTCGGTGCGTCTCGCTGCGCACGTGTTTTCTGCGTTCAATAAAATCCACAGTGAGCATGCATAAGGGCGTTAACGCGATGATCGATTCTCTTCGTCGATTTTCTCTTTTGTTAACAACTCGCTAGATTTAACGTTTCTCGGTGCGTTGCGTTTACCTCTATGGTAATAT